CCTGTGAACGCCGTGTTGTGGTTAGAAGTCCCCAGAAATTGGAACTTTCACTTGCTAGCCATGATAGTGAAAGCTTTAGCCCAGTTGCAGATGACTCTCTGGCTATAAGTCATAAAGACTCACTGGAAGCAAGCCCAGTGCTAGAAGATAACTCATCACACAAAACGCCTGATTCTTTGGAGCCCAGTCCTATGAAAGAGTCTCCCTGCCGTGATTCCCTTGAAAGTAGCCCTGTAGAACAAACAGTGAAGGCTGGTATTTTGGGGCAGGGTCCTCTTCAGTCTGTTCTTAGCAAAGGAGAAACCTGCCCAGAGCTAGCATCGGTGCGTTCCAGGATTCTCCGTGACCCTGAGGGAAGTGCTGATGATGACAGCCTAGAGCAAACATCCCTCATGGAGAGTTCAGGGAAAAGTCCTCTTTCACCTGAAACTCCTAGTTCTGAAGAAATTAGCTATGAAATCACACCTAAAACAGCAGATTCACAGGCACTGTCAAACATACCAAAGTCAGCCGTGATCCCTGAAGTCAGTGAAGAACCAGAGGATGATTCCGAAAGTGAACCAAAGAAGAGATTCACCCCTGAAGAGGAGATGTTCAAAATGGTGACCAAAATCAAAACGTTTGATGAATTAGAACAAGAAGCAAAACAGAAGAGAGATTTCAAAAAGGATTGTAAACAAGATGAATCTTCTGTAGCTGCCGATTCAGAAGCTGCATGTGAAGCTGAAGAACCAGAGTCAACAGCTGTAGAAGAAAAAGATATACCTACAGTGGTGATGTCTGCAGCTGAATCTAGAAAAAGTTCTTCCTCTTCAGAAAGTGAGCCGGAATTGACTCAGCTAAAAAAAGAAGCCGACTCAGGCCTCTTAATGGAGCCTATGATCCGCGTGCAGCCACCCTCACCATTACCATCCAGTATTGACTCCAGTTCTAGCCCCGACGAAGCAGGTTTTCAACCCATTGATTCAAAACCATGCCTTAGCAGGATAGGTGCAGTTAAAGCAGAACAGGATAAGCCAACGGAACATGACAAAGAGGAACCGCTTATCCTTGGGGGCAGCTGTAAGGCTTCCCCAAGAGAATCAGGCACTTGTCATTCTGACGGTTGTGTATCAGCAGAAACTGATGAAGCAAAATGTGACAGTACAGCTGACAGTGAGACAGTTAGTCCCAATGCCCCAGTCACACAATCTGGGGGTACTCTGTGCCATTCCATTGGTGACAGTTCTCAAAAAGAAGTTTGTGTTGAGCCTTCATTAACACCACACCAATGTGATACTACTGAAAAAGACATCAAAACCACTGCGTTGTTGACACAGACAGATCTCATTTCTACAGGAGCTGTGTCTGAGAAAGTAGAGGATAGTTCTTGTGGACACAGTACCACCGAGTACTGTGTACCACAAGATGGCAAACTGGCTGAAGATGATACCACTGACCATTTTGCTTTGGGAAGTGATTTGGGAAAAGCAGATACAGATTTTGAAACATCTCAAAGAGATATTCATGCTGAGGAGCCCTTACCAGAGTATTCATCCCTTTCCACTGAAACAGTGGCACTTGAAAGTTGCGTAGCAGATGCTGCTGAAAGTAGTGCTCCTTATGTAGTAAGCCCGTATGAAAATGTGTCTTCTGAACATTTCTTTAGTGACACTGAAAGTCAGGTAGGATCTGGTGGAAGTCTGCTATCTAGGGAAAACTATTCTATTGAAGAAGGAAAAGATCAGACTGGTGAAGCTTTACTTAGCAGAAACACAGGTGGTGAATATCACTCTTCAGAGGAAGCATATATGGAAATGGAGCCAAAACCAGAGGATGCATTTCAGAAAATGTCACAAGGGTCTTCAGCATCAGATTCCGCAAAATTAGCTGAATCTGCCCTCGAGGATGTACAAGATGAAACGGAGAAATTGATCAGTCAAGTTGTCATCACTAAAACTGATGTGGATTCTGACATGTGGAGTGAAATCCGTGAAGATGATGAAGCTTTTGAAGCTCGGGTGAAAGAAGAGGAACAAAAGATATTTGGGTTGATGGTAGACAGGCGATCACAAGGCACAACACCGGATACAACACCGGCCAGAACACCCACCGAAGAAGGGACACCACTTAGTGAACAAAATCCTTTTCTTTTTCAGGAAGGAAAGTTGTTTGAAATGACTAGAAGTGGAGCCATTGACATGACCAAAAGGAACTATCCAGATGAAAGCTTTCACTTCTTCCAAATGGGGCAGCAGCCTCAGGAAGAAGTTTCTTTGTCTGAAGAAGTGAAAGAAGCAGCAGAGGTGGAATCTTCTAAGCTGAAGGGCTCACCAGCTCCATTTTCACCTTCCGAATCAGAGGACTCGGATATACAAGAAAAAGATACATTGAAATACTCACCCTCAGCATCTGAGTCTAGTGATAAATCAGAAGAAATGACGGGTGAAGGTGTCAGCACAGGCACCACAAAAGCAGATCTTAAATCCAGAATTCCAATTAAAATGGGTATTTCAGCTTCTTCAAAATCACCAAAGAAAGAAACTGCTGCCTCTGAAGCTGAGCCCCTCTCCAGAACAGAGACTGACATGGTTGATAGCAGTCAGGTGCCTTGCCCTTTCTCTCCTGAGCAGTCTGTAGAAGACGAATTGGATTTTTCCAAAGTCACTAGATTAGTTTGTTCTGAACAGGGTGAGGAGTCCCCAGACTCTTCACCTGAGGAACAGAGATCTGTGATTGAAATCCCTACTGCTCTAATGGAGAGAGTGCCTTCTTGTGAAAGCAAATCCAAAATTCCTGTAAGAACAGCTGCTGCTGCATCGCAACCCTTGCAACAATCGGAAAACGAGAGCCTTCCCACAGACAGCGTCCTAGACAGTTTGCAGTGTGAAGGAAAAGATGACCAAGCGAAACCAAAGTCTAAAATTCCCGTCAAAGCAGCTTTCCAAAAAGCTGAACAACAATATACATACACAGACACATCTATCCGCAAGCTAGAGTCACCCAAAGCTCTTGACATGACAAACAAACTACCTATGAAACAAGATAACCGAAGTAAATCAGAGTCTGATGCAAGTATTCCCATGGACCCAAAGACTAAACGTTCAATAAAAGCTAGGAGTTATGCTGAGGCAGAAGCAGAGACCAGGGAGAGGGAAAGAGAGATGAAGCTCGAGCTAGACTCAGATGAGGCAACAACAGCAAGACCCAAGGTATTTTCATCACGGTTGCCAGTTAAAAGCAGAAGCACTACAGCCTCCCGCAGTGCTTTTAGTCCCACAAAAGAAAGTAAGGAACATTTTTTTGACCTATACAAAAACTCCATAGAATTCTTTGAAGAAATTAGCGATGAAGCTTCTAAATTAGTGGAAAGACTCACGCAGTCAGAGAGAGAACAAGAATTAGTTTCAGATGATGAAAGCAGTAGCGCCCTAGAAGTTTCAGTTATTGAAAATGTGCCATCCAGTGAGACTCAGCAGTCAGTTCCTGAAGACATCTTTGACACCAGACCCATTTGGGATGAGTCTGTAGAGACTCAGATTGAACGTATCCCTGACGAAAATGTCCATGACCATGCTGAAGGTATTTGCCAACGACTGGGATTCCCTGTGCGACGCATGTCATGAATTAAACTTTTTGCTTTTTTGTTTTCTTTGGCGTGTGTGTGTACGTATGTTTGTATACACGTGTAATGTGTGTGGCATTTTCTTTTAAGCTTTTGGTGGTTAGCTGTGTATTTTTTTCTCCCCCCCCCCCCCCCCGCCCCCCGTGAGCTGTGTTTGTTTTTTTGTGTTGTGTCTGTATTTTTCTTGTCTGTGAAACAATCTCAAGATTGCAAACCATGAATGCTTGTGGGAAGTGTTACCTTAATAAACAAAAACACTTCTAAAAATATGTATTGTTTTACCATTAAACTGATTGCTCAGGTCATGCACATTTTGGCTTTTGGCTTTCCCTGGCCCTACTCTTCACTATTAATTTTTACTAATAATGAAATATTTGGGCATTGATTGAAACCAGGCAAATTCATTTTCTTTTGAGTTGTTACGCAAAGAAAGCTGTAGAAGTTTTAAACAATTAGGTTTTTCATGTTCCTTTTTTTGACAATCTGCGTCTCAGGAAAGTTCTGTTTTGCCAGTAACTTCGGTACAAGTTTTCTGGTGTTTGGTTTTCCTCTCACCTACTTGTGTACTACTATTGAGTAGCCATGATGGAAATCCAGTAGCCAAAATGAGAGATGCATATATCATTAACCCTAAGCAATTTTCTGAATCTGAGATATCACAATCCACGTATGCATTCAGGGAAACTCAAAACTCAAATGCTGCCATCCTCAAATTAGCTTTGGGGATGGGAGGAACAGTCAGTCTCACTGTTACCAAAATAAGTGAAGACTGGCAAATGAACATCTGGTTTTTCCTTGCCTTCATTGTAAGTATTTTGTATCACTCCCTAGTTGAAAGGGTCGAAGATGTTTAAATTAACAATATCTCCAATACAAACCATACTATGAAGTGCCATATAGACTGTTTGAACAAAACTTTCCCTACACCAGAAAGAACATAATTAGAAGCACTAGTGCAGATGAATTTTTCAACCTTGGCATTTACTAAGGAGACATGGAAAATTATGGCTCTTGACTTAGTTAAAGTCTTCAATTTAATGTTAGAATGAAGTTTTAGAATGAAACGCTTGACCAAGATAAGCATAGTAGGCACTTCAGTCCTGCTTTAGATTTTCACATGAAAGCCTAATTTTCAAATAGAAAATGTAGATAGATAGTCCTGTGCTTTTTGAAAAATCAAACATTTGTGTTTTTTGGTGTGGTTTTTTTTTAACCTGGGAATTTACAGTCCTCACTTTAGTTACCCAGTTGTAACAGCCTGTCCATATTTAGAGTACAGCAGTTAGGAGGAAAAAAAAAAAAAAAAAATGCAGCACTTTCCCTTCTTGGGCTACATCACCTATGAAAAAGGGTTTTAACTTGTAAAAGGCAACTTGTGGCTCTCTTTGACCTTTAGATCAACAGGATGATCAGGAGAGGACAGAGGAAAGACTGGCCCACATTGCTGATCATCTTGGATTCAGCTGGACAGGTAAAATGCATGTCATCTACTCCTGAGAGAAAGGAGGGGAGCATTCCTCATTTTTTTCATGTTTCTTTCAGATGATTTCCTGATTATCTGAAGATGTTTTGTAGAAATATTTCAGTAGCTTACTGTCTTCTGGTTACTAAGATACCTATAGCCTATTAGGTAAGAACTCAAATGCAGAAGTAAGGCCTCTGTACTTGCTGTGGCCTCTCCGGAGGGAAAACTCCAAGGATGAGAGTGTGACAACGAGCTGGCATGTTACCCTACTCTTACTTGCAAAATGCAACAACTCTGGCTAGAAGATAAACCAATACAGGAATAATCATCATATGTGTTCTGGAACTGCTGAGCTGTAAGGCCACGATAGGGATAAACAAGATCAGCTTCTTTTCTACAGAACTTTGCTGACGAAAAAGGGATAAAAAGGGGACCTCTTTGTAACAGTCACTTTAATATAGTGGATTTAATAGATCTGAGACAGTTAACTCTACTGGGGACAAGCGAAAGTAACATAGAATGAAATGCAGATGTCTATCACTGAAAATCAGCTCAAAAGTGTTTACAAAGAAAAAGAGCTGTGCAGAAATGTAAGTGCTGTGTCAAACTGTGCAATCCAACAAAAAGTTGCTGCAGAAAAAGTTAAATCAGGTCTATGCTTTTTTGTATGTATCCCTGGAGCAGTACCATGGTCCTGAAAATACGCACAGCTCTAGGAGTTAAAGAAGAGTTGTATACCAGAGAAAAAAAGTTAAATCCTTGATAACAAAGATGGTGCTCTATACTGTTTTTATCGGCATCCTCAGAGGACATGCAAAATATCACTGATACTTTTGCTTATCTTACTCACCTCTTCCTTTCCTGTCCTCTATTTCAATCCATAGAGAAGGCTATGAGCGTGTCACTCATCCCAACGTGGATTATCTTGAAATCAGGAGGACTTGGACCTGTGCAATGTAACAATTAGGAATCTGCTGAAAATTTTATATAAAAGAATAGACAGTTCTGAAAACAAAACTAGAAAAAAATGGATGCTCATCAAAATAGATATTAATGTTTTACAGCATTTTAGAGAGGGCAGGGTAATACACCTGCATAAACACTCCTGCCTTATATTATGGTAAAGATTACCGTGTCAAATGTTACTTTAGCGGATAAAATAGTAGTTGTTTTTTGTTCAAACTTATTTGACTAGCTAGGATTTGAATCTAATGTGTCGTTACTGTATATTTGTTGAAGCTTACAGTTGCAACAGTTTATAAGCCAGCCTGGAAATAAGGTGGTTTGGGGTTAGGGTTCCCTCCACCCTGTTAAAACATGACTCCCTCCAAAATCAAGTCTATGCCACTACAGCGATAATGACAATGGAAGAGAATATGAATCCTTCTTTGTGAAAGAAGCAGAAATCTGAAGATCAGGAGTAACAGTAGGAATCTCACAAATTCTCCATGGTTTTAACTCATTTGATGACCTATTTCAACATTTGCATCTTAGTTTGTTGATGGCAGAAGGCTGCCCCTGGTTCTGTATACAGTAAAGATGTTACAGACCGTTAAACCATTTCTCTTTTCTGGACTGCAGTCTGACCCTATGCTACGTCAGAAAGACGTCAGCTATTCTTAGTTTCACCTTTTCAGTTTTTGGTTTTCAACTGTAATTCAGACATTTACTTTTCTTTAAATGAAGCCTTAAAATGAATTCTTTTACTAGATTTTGATCAAAGTTTCAGAAACAGTCATCATTTTAGAGGATAGAATCTGCTAAGCATGGTGCTCTGCAGCTGGAAATATTTTTCTCTGCCCGTGTGCTATTTCTGCAAGCGCACTCTATTTCATAGCTTGTCACTGCCTCTGAGAACTAGGAATGGTAGACACAAAACATAAAAGCTCACACAGACCCATCACTTCTAGGCATAATACATTTCTGACTTTGTCATGAACTTCCTGTTTAACGGTGTCTCTAAATATAACACAAGGTACATAGAAGCAATGAGAATTTGGTTTCAGAAAAGTTTGTAATCCACTTTGCTGCTGACAGCCGTAAAGTAGGGGCGGAAAAAAAGAGAGCTTTACAGAGATGGATTTATTTTTCAGAGCTAGCAAGAGAACTGGATTTCACAGAGGAGCAAATTCACCAGATCCGAATTGAAAACCCTAATTCACTTCAAGACCAGAGCCATGCACTCCTCAAATACTGGCTTGAAAGGGATGGGAAACATGCAACAGGTTTGTTTCCAGTTGTACTACATACAACTGTCTCCCATTTGCTATTTGGGGTGACAGATGTGTGTTATAGTCACAAAAAGAAAATTCAGGTAAAGTTTAGGCTATAGAAAGAATGACCATAATTGGACTTAATTTTTTTTTAAGCTTGTCTGTGTAACATGGCATATCATAGGATTCTCAGAGAAAATAGTTTTATCTTGTTCGTTTGAGGGCAAGGCAGAACATCACCTTCCAAAGAAAGCGTGGAAAAACACTGAAGCCTCTTTTTCCTAAACTGAGAAATTTTGGGGGAAACTAAACAAATTTGTTAAAGGAAAAAATGAGTGGTAATTTTTATATGCAGCCCTTCTGTTACTTTTAGATTTTACACGGCAATGCTTCTAAATGCATCTGTATTTTGTATATGATATTATACCGCTCAGTATCCTACCTATGTCCTTCATATGGAAAACTGAATGGAGAGAGCATGTGAAATTTTTAACTCGGCTACATGGTGTCGTTCTAATGCCACAGATACAAATCTTACCCAATGTCTTACAAAAATCAACCGAATGGACATTGTTCACCTAATGGAGACCAGCGGCATAGACTCCATGCAGGTCCACGGCACTCGCACGTATGCAGAAATTGAACAAACAATAGGATTGGACCATAGCGAAGGTAAACATCTCCTGATCCAGACTGCCCAAGTTATCTCATCTAAGCACTAGCTTCTGTTCTGAAATGTTTGACTAGGATGATCTGTTAACTCTTAGGACTGAGCACTAGAATCTCATTTTGAAAGCACAGATAATATGGATGAATGCAAGCGTGACATCACACAGGTCACTATTTCACCAGTTACAAGATCTCTGCATTAGCTGATTCTTATAAAGCAAATAAAGGAATGTTGTCAGAAACTACCGCAAATACTTATGCTCAGTTTGTTGGGTTTTTTTTTTTTTTGCTTATAGAAGTACTTCTATATAAGTTAAGAAGGTTGTATTAGGATTTGACCAAGATTTGTAAAAGGAAAACTACTCCATGCTTTGGAAAAACCTTAGGATTCAAGTATCCAGGATATTGTAATTCTGCTATGAATGTGGTTGGATTTCTTGAGTATAAAAGTTCAGTAGATTACATCAATGGTTGTAAACTAAGGAAATGCCTCCAAATTATGTGAAATAAAATCCTCTTTTCTGGGGGGTTGGGGGTGGGTAGATGTGTTTATATGCTTTGAAGCACATAAATTAGCTGGTTCTTGTGCCTAGTCCTGTATGAATTTCTTTGTCCATACTTGTTATTTTTTCCATAAGCAGATGAATAATGGGTGGGGTGGGGGGAAGTCACTAAAACATGTCCAAATCTGCTGGAAAAAAATCTGTTGTGAATCTTCTTTCATACTTTGAGGGTTTCAAGATCAAGAGATGGCTCTAGGTAAATTTCTGGGTAAATTTTATTTTGCCTGTTACTGTCAAGATTCATTGTTTGGCAATAGTAGTTGTAATCCAGTGTTCCTTCACCTACTTAGAGAGGTCATGTCCTCTTCCACTCAAGATGTCTAAAAATTTCAGGTAACGTGGTCCATCCAGGGATTTTAAAAGGACTTGCTGCGTTCTAGTAAGACTTGTAATGACATTTCTCATCTCTCTATTTTTTAAAGGGTTTTCTGCACTGCAAGAAGAACTGTACAGTTCAAGACATAAGCAAGAAGAACACAGAATATCTAAAGACAGTGAGCCAACTGAACACCCTCCAATTGTCTCCGAGGAGGACGTGTCTGTCAGTTATTCTCCTTTTCAGGATAGTACTCCCAGGAGTGAGGCAGAAGTATCAATGGCTGAGCTCCTGAGACAAGCACATAAGGAACAAGTAGAAGCTGAATTCTCAGGGAAACCCCAAGATGTGCCAGAAAAACCGTCTGCTTCACAACGTGAATATTCGTAAGTGTCAAAAGACCAGAATGAAACCTATGTGGAACGGATTATCTCTTCTCTGTGTAATAAGACAATTTTACAGTTTTCTTTGAAACATAGGAACTCACTAGAATTTTTCTCCAATTGTGTGCACCAGCTCGTTACTTCCTACTGCAGGTTTGACATTTTAATCCATGTGGAGGAAGCCTTAAGGATTAGGGGAAAAAGGTCAGTTTGTCACTGTGAACACAAAGCAATAATCTAGTCTAGTACATATGACAGAAAAGAGGGATAACATAGAGGTCGGGTTTTTTGACAAACTGTGTATATTTTTCGTACGTTAGATAGCAAGTAATGTTAAACTTAATTAACGCTAGACGGGCCTGCCTTCAACTTCAGGATGTTTTTTTCAATTGAGGCAAAAATTTTCCAACTTACTCATTACTTACAAAACTCATAGCCACGTATTAGGAACTCGATTTTTAAAAGCAAGTTTTAGATGGCCAAAGGAACAGAAACAGGGTTATATACAGACAGGACAAAAGTACTTAAGGAAACAACACGTGGTAAGGTATGGATTTAGAAGACCTGCACAGCAAAGCCTTGAATTCTGATTTGGAGCTGTCAGTGGGGTTGGTTTCATTTGGAAAGGAACTTGAAAAGGATCACGTTTCTTTCTTCCCACCATCCCTAATCACATGCCCACATTGAGAACTCTATGCAGGGTTGATTGAGGTATTCATAGGCTAGCAAAATATCAAGGATCCCCTTCCAAAGAAGTGATTTTTCTGGGAGCGATTAGCTTTGATGTGGAGATGCAGCCCCAAACAGTCAAGGTGCAGCTGAGTCCAGCAAATGGTCTTTTGAGGATTCTTTTGCTCAAATATGCTTTACACCCAGGAGAGAGCGTGGGAGACAGAAAACGGCATGTAAGGTAGAGGACTTACGTTGCACTGGTAGGCAAAAATACCAATACTTCCTAATGATCTGCATGAGGAAATGGATGTTTCTGAGGAATGGAGAATACATTTGAGACAATATTGCCAATACTAAATGAGAGTAGTGATGATGGGAATATCACCACACTTCACGTCTACTTCAAACTAGGAGGAAAATTGGGCTAGATTTAAATTGTTCATAAGGAACGCGTACCAAGAGGAATTATACAATAATATGTATAGCCTGGTGAATGGGAAAAAGAGGCTGGAGCAATACTGTTTAACTTACACTACAATGAAACCTTTTCTTTCTTGGAACACAATTGTTTCAAGGGCAGTAGTTGGAGGAACACAACAAATTGTGAAAACCCAACTTGTATCAGGAAAAAAACATATACATGCAAGTTATTCTATTACTGTTATTATTACTGTTATCTACTTATGGGATTGGTTATGGAGAAGGGAATCTGGTGTCCTATTATTAAAAATTAACAGTTTCCTCAGTTAATTTTTAGGATGAGAGGGGGAAAAAAGCAAGCATGTAAATGCTAGCTTCAAAGCATCTCAGAAATTTTAAAAGGGGAAGATTTAATTTTTGCAGGCTCACTATTTTTCAGGCTGTAATTCCACCAGTTTTGATATAGTTGGTCTTTTTTCTTTTAACCGATATACACGAAAAGAGAAAAGTCAACCTCAGAAGAAGAGTCTAGGTGGTGAAGCGGGTAATGTTTTCACAATCAGTGTAAATCAGAAGTGACCTTTTCAAGCTAGCATCAGAATTATAAGGTTACTTGATAAAACACAGTTAGATGAGAGTTAGCTTAATATCTGAAGTAATTCACCCATATGCAACACAAAAATATTGCATGTACATATGCTTTAATGTATTACCTTTATGTACGTTACTATGTAACATATATAATAATACATTTAAATAACTTGTGGCAGCAATTAAATTATAGCAATGTTCAACAGTGAAAGTAATATTACAAACAAAATAAGATTCTATACTAAATTTCTGTTTGGTAAGGCTCCAGAATTCTACATAAAAGTTGGCCTCTCCTCACCTGCAGATGTGTAGCCTGTAATTAACGTAGTAGTTGCTTTACATCCATCTGTACTGATCCAGTCTCTTTTCTGCCCCCAAAATAATAGGTAATATGTAGATTTGTTGAGAACACAAGTGACAGCAGAGTTCACATAAATCCTTTACAAAGACCAAGTTTTGCAGAATTGGGTGCAATGGATGTGGACGTCCATTTGGAGGTTTTCTTGGGTTGGGAAGATGAGAGGGATTCCTAGCCAGATTGCTCTGTAGTTACTGTCAAGGAGTATCAGTTATTTCTAGACTTTGCTAGATGACAGACAATATTTAAACAGTGCATAACGTTCCATTTATGGGGATTGGAAAGCACTGCATGGTAGTAACTTCCCTTGAACCTGTAATTCACAGTGTCACAACTCCAGGAACAGAACAGTCTACAGCACCAGTAACCGGAAAAGCAGCAAGTGAAAAATCTGCACACTTCAGTGCGGCAAAGGAAGAGAGACAAAAAACATCCCCACAACCCCCATCGTCTGCTCAGAGAGGTGACTCTCCCATCATCCAAGAGCCCGAGGACCCCCAACTCCACCAGGATGACCTCTCTCCAAGGAGAACTAGTCTAGTGATAGTGGAGTCAACTGATGAGCAGACAGGAAAGTTTGGAAGAGGCTATGAAGAGGAATCTTTAGAAAAGGTAAACAACAACTTTGCCTCAAAGTACTTGACACAAAAGAACCCTTTTATGTCTCGCTCATTCCTTAAGATGAGAATATTTTCAGTCAGCCTAATTAACCACTGTCTGCAACTGAGTCTTTTCTCCTTTCCTCTGTGGTTATAAGGGCTAGCTATAGTCATTTGTATAAAGGTTTTCAAAGCTGAATCAAAACCCAGATCCTAAAGTCTAGACTATAATTCTGCTTCTGCTATGCTTATTTGTCCTTTGGTCTGTGACAGTTATGTCCATGCATGTGAGAAAGAATTAGTGTAAATAACAGGTGCAGAAACAATCCATGTACGAGTGAAAGCTGAAAAACAGATGTAATGAAGACAAAGTAATAATGTTAAAAGCTTATGAAGAAAGGCAAGAGTAGCGCAGAGCAGCATGAAGAATGACATGAAAGATACTGTAAAGTTAGTGAGATGGAAAAGATGGAAAAGAGGCAGCAGGATGTACGTTGCAGAATACTAAGGATGTAGTGGAAGAAAAGAACTTGAGAATGGTGTTTATGTAGCATGCAGGCAGTAAAGAGAAATGGAGACAGGAGATGTAAGAGAAGAACAAAAACTATGTGAGGTAGGTTATTGGTTGTGTAAGACAAAGGAACCTTATGGCAGTGTTTGGAGAGGGGAAGACTTCAAGAGGCAATGAAAGAAAGCAACTATATGGCTTTTAGTAGGACATTTAAATTACTTGGCAGATAAAGGTTTATTCTTAAGCAGCTTTTTTTGCCTGTTCTAAGTGGAAAAAAGGAGCAGGCATAATTGGGCAGGCAATAAGTTTTATCAGTGAAGTTAGAGCAGAAAAAGCACAGTTCTACTTAAGCAGAAGTTGTTCCCTGTTTTGACATTCACCTAGAAACAGGCTGCTCTTTCTTTGCTGTTTATGTTGGCAAAGGTACCGTGTCTAGAATGAATTCCAGAGCTCTGCCTCTGGGATCTCAGAAAAAGGTTGACTATAAAATGTGTAGGATAACTCAGATGTTGAAAGATTAGCTACAGTAGAACTCAATACAGTGGCTGCTGTAGGAAAGGCTGCCCTCAAAGGTAGTGTACTTTTTCCCTCCTATTCTTTTATTAAGCAACAACCACTAGCACCACCAAAAAGAAAAACAGCTCCCCCCCGCCCCTGCCCCCATCTATTTTCCCCTTTATGCTTTTATACTGTTGAAATTTCCCAAGTAGTTCTTTTCAGCTACTCTTCGCCTTCTGACTGCTTCATTTAAATTTTTAATTCTTCCCTATGCAGGAGAGGCAAGAACTTCCAACACTTGTTACTAATTTTTCTTGGATCTTTCCGGCTCCAAAGCTATTGATACATTGTCCTCTAGTTAAAACTGTTTAGTCCTACTGTCTATATGCTGCACTACGTACTTCCCGGTATGGAGGATTAAAAGGTTTTCATATAATTTCTGTGTAATTAATACAGAAACCTTATGCAATTTGTATGAATTCCAGAGTTGGTGTTAGTAATACCTTCTAGTCCACCTGCAACAATGTCATGCCACAAACTTCAGGCTTGCCCCTGGCAACCTTAAGAGCACCAAGAGCATCCTATAGAACTAGTACCACACAGATTCATCCTTCTTTTTTCAATATGCTAATGAACAGCTAAGGTATAGTCAAGTGGCCAAAGCCTCCCACCCCACATCAATGTTTCACAGATTAAAGTCAGGTAAGAGGCCCAAATCCTTAAAGCAAAAATTTTCAGAAGTGAAGATGGTTTTATCTAAAACCAAGACAGGACCTGTAAGTACTGCTAGTACCACGTACAACAGAGCACTGCTTCCATGCTTCCACTAGGAGTTAGCAGAGGAGTTAGGTGGGCTGGAGACCAGCTCGGACGAGGACGAGATGGTCACTACCAGGGTTGTTCGTCGCCGGGTGATTATTCAGGTACTGAGTGTTGAACGATTGCACGAGCCTGTGGTGACTAGGCCCCGGTAACACCGTCAGGCATGCTGCTGAGACAACCACTTGGCTGATATTACACCCGAAGCTGGAATGCTCCTGAATAGTGCATGGGCATTGGATAAGCCATTCCAATACCTTTTCTGGAAAGGAGGATTATAGTAATACTGCTAACCCAACTCTAAGTTCCATTGGATGTCTCAGTAGGAAGATGAAGACTTCTCAGCCCCATACACAACACTGTCAACTAACACACATTTGCCTGTCCATTGTGGCATAAAACTTTTCTTTGCATGCTTTCTAAGTATTTATTTGCAGAACAAATTTTTTTCTAACACTTCTGAATTTTTTTTTTCATTCTTTAACCAATTAACCATTTTAAAAATTGCTTCTTTGAAGTTACCTACATTAAGGTTTTACTTCATAAAACTTTGTTCTTTGTCATACAGGCTGATAGTATGCCTGAAATGCCACCAGAAACAGTCACAGAAGAGCAATATACAGATGAACATGGCCACACAGTGGTAAAGAAGGTATTGTCAGTTATGCCCCTTGCTACCTTCTTACTGTCTTATAAAAGGAAGTATAAATACATTCACATACAAGCCAAATTTTCTTTTGTGAAGGGGCGTGATTTTTAGGAGTAGAGCATAGAAGGAACCAGAATTTTTGTTCATGAGAGATTCCAAAGTTTGAAGAATTATTTTGATTTGCAAGATCATTCTGTGTTACAGTTTATAACTTTAAGCCCACTTAAAGCCAGTGAAAACTCTGCATAGATCCACATTTCTGAGAACAAGTTTCAAAAAAAAAAAAAAAAAAAAAAAGAGAAAAAACAACAAAAACCACAGCTGAAAAACCACACCACCACAATTTTATCTAAGATCATGTTTGCTCGTATTAATGAAACTAATGGAGGGCTGGGTCTGCAAGAGTCGTCTAAATCCAGACTTTAGATCCTCAAAATGTCCACTCAGCTGTGCCTGACCAGGTTCCTACACTTCTGTGTCTGTACATACGATTCAGATTTGTGGCCCAAAGAATATAGAAAGTACTTATTTGTGTGATGGCCTCATAAAATAAACATTTTCAGACCATGCTTATAAAAGTGAATTCTGCACAGCACGGAAGTGGAAATTCTGTTCTCCTTGCCTTATCTGACAACTCAGGGCTTAGAGAATTGGTCTAGGACTTGGCTGAATTCAGCTGGTGGCAAACTCCCATCTGTCGTCTCCCAAGAAAACGTCATAGACCCTCAGCTGGATAGCATGTCTCTGGAAGCTGTTTGAATTCATATTAAAATAAACAACCCCAACCAAATATTCCTGGGGACGTTGTGCAAGAGTGAGCATGACTATATTCTTCTGGGTAGGTCCATGCCTGGGAGGGCACTGCCCCCACCTCTGTGACTATTTAATAGAGGTGACCCAGTCTGACTGAGCGTCACAGCCAATAAGCTTTTGGACAGAGCAGGAGGTAACTGCTTAAAGTTACCTTGTCAAAAGGGGCTGGGAAGGTGGACAAAAACGTAGAGCTCCAGGTCATCCACAGAGGGATGCATACCCATCCTCCTCGAGAAATTTATCTCATCTTGAGCCCTGTAACTCTCTTCTGCTCCTCTTTGTTTGGCTTGGCGATGCTTCGAAAGCTTAAGCAGCAGATTAGTCTCTCAAGTAGGTTAAATCCAGCTTACTAGTTCAGCAGTGGTTAGTACCAGCAGTGTTACTACATGGTGTCCAAGTTCCTCTCTGAATCTGCTTCTAAGTGTTCAATAGCCAGGCTGCTAACCTCTTACTTTCAGAAGCCTTTTTGAAAATGCCACTCTGAAAATGTTTTCTAGCAGTTGTGTGGTTGTAAAGTACGTTTTCCCTCTGAAATACTGTACTACTTTTCCTAATAATAACTACTGCTTTAGAGAGTCATTCCAATATCTATATTGTGCCCACTTGTGAAGTACGTTTATGGAAGCTTTGCTGTGTGGTAGCCTGAGTAGGGCAGATGCGTCAACTTGCAGCTTTACTACAGGTACTTTTGAGTATATGCATTAAAGACTAAAATACTGAACCATCTATGTAGGTTTTTCTGCGTAGGAAAAATGCCCTTTGAGTAGAAAATACTATATAGAGAATAAGAAGGAATTGTTAATTCTTTCGGGACAAAGCTCTATTTCATTCCTTCAGGTCACTAGAAAGATCATCCGGCGATACGTTTCTCCAGATGGCACAGAAAAAGAGGAAGTCCTAATGCAAGGAACACCGCAAAAACCTGTCACTGTTGAAGGAGGAGATGGCTATTCCAAAGTTGTAAAACGGGTTGTGCTGAAGAGCGACAGTGAGCAGTCAGAGGTCAGATCATCTACTTTTCTTGTGATGGTACAAAGCAGCAGTATACCAACAGCATACTTAGTAACTACATCTTACTCATGCCAACAACATTCAGTTTTGAATGATATTTTTAAAAGTTTCCTGGCAGATGGAAAAGCCTCGGAATAAAGACCAGGAAAAGGCAGGGGGTGGGCAGAGAAAGAAGGCAGCTTTCTCTGAAAATAAGTCAGGATACAGAATCTGTGATTTATGAGAAGTACCAACTTCATAAGGAAAGCAGCTTCGTACTAAGATGACATAAAAGTAAATGGCAAATCTCTACATGTTATTATACCTCTTACTCTAATAAGAGAAGTAGCAAATGTTGTAATGAAATGATCTGATGTTCTCTAGGTTTCTAGAACTAAGCCCTTCTAAAACTATACAGTTATATTAGGTTTAACTTACTGGTGTGTTCTTTGCTTTGGAGAAGAAAACAAACAAACAAAAGTATTACTTCCATGCAAACTGTTTGTAGAGCCAGGTAATTAAAAAGAAAAAACAACCCAAAAAGGTAAGTACCTTTCAGTTTACCTTTTCCAGCCTTGATTCACCTCACCATGTAGCCCTACAGACATTTGTATCGGCATCATTAAGGTTGTGACAGAGGACTAGAAGCTAGTAACAGGGGTTGCTTTTGGCAGTACTGCAAGTGAAAGCAACATTTAACAAGCGGTCATTAGGAACGCTAAGAACATGATTGCCCTTCTCTCTCGCCAGAATTAGTCATCAGAATTAATTCTCTAGGAGTAAGGTAACAAGAAAACAAAGTAATTTTTTTTAGTTAGCTGACCATACCAGAACTACTCTTTATCATATGGATCCTGTATACATTAAATTCGTATTTTGCCAAATAAAATAGAGTTTGTTACTTTCACATGGTATTCTAATATTCTGGTCTGTTGCTCCTGGAAGAGTTCCTTAGTTTTACAAGCGTGGCTCATCTCTCAGAAGAATTATCTTAAAATTAAGATATGGGCCGATATCACTAATTCGTACTACCTGTGTGAATGCAGCAAGGACTCACAGCAAGAGGTCCACTCATTGGTTGGTGTAACTCCAGTGGCCTGGGCAGGTAAGCCAGTACGGCAGCCTGCGCTGTGGTGGAAGGTAGCAATATCCCTGCTACCTTCAGGCTAGCTCAGGTTCCAGAAGCAGATTTCACCCTGCCAGCATAAAGCTTCTCGGCAGAGTAAATTCTCCAGGGCTGTTCCTGCTGCCTGAACTGGCATGTATCCTACAACGTCCCGTTCCGGGGCTGCGTACACGTAGAAATTGAGACGCTTCTTATATTCTTGTTCTCTGTGGCAATGATTAAGAATGATGGAGTAACTAAAAGCTTTGTTAGTATCCATTATGTAATTCATATCCAGTATACTTCTGCTTTCTGACCTTACAGGTGACCCTGTCTGAACCTGCTGTTTTGCCTAGTGCCTCTGAATTCCAGTCTCAACCAGTGGAAGGCCGGAAGGTCAGCAAAGTCATAAAGACCACTGTAGTGCAAGGAGAGAGAACAGAGAAACACCTGGGGGATGCTAGCTTAGCTAGTGATCTTCCGTCAGCCAAAGAGGACTTTGAAGAGGTAAAAATGCCTTTTAAATATAAGTATTAAACCACGTGTCACAACATACCTGGGGACAAATTCTACTCTACTGAAAGTTTTGTTGGTGGACCATCATACTCAGCTATTGAGTATAAACCTCTGTTGTTATACTCAGCCACGTTATAAAAAGATTAGTATATAAAGTGTGTGTGTGGGGGGAAAGCTAACGTTACAGAATTAGCTATGAAACATTTTAAGATTCTGAAAAAAACCCATGGAGGCTTAAAGTTGTTAGAAATCACGGGTGTGGTGGTTACTGTTAAAGTTCATTCGTACATTACCACGCATGGAGGTAATTTTAGAAATTTACACAGTTAAGTCTATTCTCTGGGCAAGTTGATGTATTTGGCCTTGAAAGGAAGAAATAGCTATCAAGCTAATTAGCACCTTTCCTGTTTTTATGCTTTTTCTGATCAGTTTAGACATTTCAGTAATAGAAAAGCAATACCGAATTAATACAGCTTTTTTTATAAGGAACTGATAGCACTTCACTCTTAATCTATTTTATTGTCCCTTTGAATAACACGTGTAAAAGATGTCACGTGGATAAAAGGTTTGTGCCATTAGATGCAACATAAGTACTTGGTTTGGTTTTTTAATTTGACAGAATATCATATGAAAACATAGATGCAACAATGTCAGGGTCTGGATATTTTCTGCCATACAATGGTATTACAGCTTGCGGGAAGACAAGAAGTGCTAGGCTATTAGGTTGAGATGCCAGATTTCCCGTTACAAATATAGGCCCAGCAGCCTATATTCATGTGTGTGTGTGTATATGTATCTCCATATCTTGGTGAGAGATCCTTCTCTCCTAACAATAACAAAACAAGCAGCAAAAACTGTCGTGTAGGTTCAGAGAAATGGCTTGGGAAATAACACTTTTTTCCCAGCTTGCAGCTTCTAGTTTAGTAAATCAAGAAGCCTGCTGAAGATACCACAGACAAACCCACATCCAGCCAAAACAAAAATTAAAATGCTGCCTTTTTTTCAATTTTCTATGAAGTATTAGTAACAGCAGATATTCAGTAGAAAACCTTGCCAGGCTCAATTCCCTGCTTCTCCCATTTCAGTACAGTTGAGCCTCAGGAGTATCATTTCTGTGTATACCCGTACATAGGTATGCATCGTTTCTACGTATACCCGTCTCTGTACTGCTAGCACTGAGAACAGGCAGCTCAAGGTGGCAGTGGGAACAACTATAAAAGAGTATTTTTTGTGACAGGAAAAAGGTCGCTGTAGCAGGTATCGTAAATAGATACAAAGGGTGACTTCTGCAAGTGTGCTACTGCAAGGCCTTGAGGTGGGCTACTTCCAAGTCGGAATGAAAGTACCAATACAATCTTCATTACAATTATTAGTAAAACAAAACTATCCTATACAAGAAACTGTAACTGATCTGTACATTTGAGGAATATTTGAAAGGATGCAAATGGCAGGCAGATGCTTCTCCTATTTGTCTATTCATCATTTTCTCAGCATTCAACTTTGTTAATATAAAGCACTAAGGTACAAAGAGGAATTATCTTCTGTCCTGGGCTTGTGGTTTTTGTTTTAATTTGAAGTTTATGTTTTAATTCGAGGCTTTGAGCTATACTGGTAACCAAATGAAAGTCCAACTCCCCGCTTTAGTAGAGAAAGAAATAATGAAAGAGGATGGATCAATTATTAAAAGGTTTGGCTTGGCATGTCAATGAACTATTACTAGAAAAGGATTAACAAAGTCATAACAAATGAGTGGATTTAAGAGAGTGTCTGAAGTGAAAGCACCAGTAGCACCTAAAGCTTTTTTTGCAAAATTACTAAAGATTACTACTACTAACCTGTTACAGGGAGGGAGGGATGCACTAGGAAGGTCTACATTCACTTGAAAATTCAACTGGGTGAATTAGGGGTGTGGTGGGTTCACCCTGGCCAGCAGCCAAGCACCACACCGCTGCTCCCTAACCTTCCTGTCCCAGCACAAAAAGGGGAGAGAACAGGAATGGCGAAAGGGAGAAGACTCACAGGTTGAATGAAGACAGTTTAATAAGTGAAGGAAAGAGGGAAGAACAACCAAAGCAGCGATGATGCAGAGGTGATCACTCGCTGTCCTGCCCGTGTGCCCTCCCATTCTCTTGCCCACCCCCAGCCTACTTACGGGGGCGAGGGGGGAAAAGAAAGTATCGATGCTGTGAGCACTGTTCAGCAGGAGCCAAAGCATCCGTCTGTTACCAACACTGTTCTAGACCCAAATGGACAACAGTGCACCACACAGGCTGCTAGGAAGGAAGTTCACTGCATCCTGGCTACACCCGGTACAAAGGGGTATCGCTGCCTAGCTGATGTCATAGGTGATACAAGAGTAACAGCGTGATGTACAGTTAACAACATTAATCAATGTTACTTCAAAAATATTTTTTTTCATACCAGTTGACTGCGATCATTTGATAATTTGAACATTATCAAAATAGACGAGAGGATGTATGGACATAGGTAGATATATAGATATATACATGCAAGAGTTGAGCCTTATGAAGAATGAGGCAGGGCGCATAGAGAAATATTTGGGAGGGAAAAAAAAAAAGCTACTGTAGTACAGCAAGTATATTCATTCCTACCGCACACAACTTGAGCCAAGGCTGTTAAAGGCTAGGTGTCTTTTACACACCTTTTCTTTCCGGCCATTTGAATTGATAGTGGCCCTTGGCATGGTAAAGCGAATGCTGGCCCCTGAAAGAACATCCCAACCAACCAGTGTCTGTAATTGTAACAAGCTATAGGACACATACCAGTTTCAGAGTTAGCAGGATGGTGTCACACGGACACACCGAGGGCCGGAAGACCCGCCGCATCTGCTTTTGGATGAAGGGTGCGCATTCTTGCCAAAGTGCTCCATCTAACCGAGGGACCTTTTTGGTCATTCGGGTCAAATTAAGAAGCGTCAGCTGTCTGATAAAAATCGAGCTATTCCTGCCTGAGCACGCAGGAATTTCCAAGTGTGCTTGGCTTCCCATGGTCCTCTCTCAAGGACACTGACCAAAACTTGGGCTTCTGGGTAAAGCTAAGCCACAGATACCTAGCTGTCCTATGACTACTACATTTATTTGCCTAGATCTGGAAGGGACTTGGTGAGGTTTAAGGTTCTGACTAGTAGAGCAAGATGGTTCCAATGAGGTAAGAGAGTAATTAACAGAATAGTTTAGGACATTAGATTACCACAAATGTAGTTTTACTGGCTGTCAGAAGTAAGACTTGTTCAGAAGTAAGTGTTGAAGATCCAAATCGGCCTAAATTACTATTGCGCAGGACAACTCTGTATGTCGAAGTTAACTACAGCAAATAGGAAGATCTTGTGTGAATTTCAACATATGTTGCATGTCTGTGTGTTACAGCATGTTTTTGCTGGGCATCTAAAACTGTATGCTTAATCAGCGTATAGAGATTAATTGCTGTTAGTTTACATTATGAAAGCCAGTTAAAGCCATAGTGTGTGTTGTACTCAGAATGCGTAACGGGTGTCTAACCTCAGTAGCTGGCTTAAACTGCCAGCTACAGTTCTTCTCATGTTATTTTAAACTAAAAAGCCTTAAACTGTCGCCAAAAAGGAGCGTTTTTTAAAAACCTTTGGGAACTGTGGGCTTTTTAAGAGCGTTATCTCATTTATTTTGTTTTAGGACAATACTCAGTAAAGCCAGCACGCAGAAGAGGACTGTGATGAAGGATCGGTATGGAAAACATGTGCACATAGAAGAGCTGGAAGACACACCAGAAGCACTACCACAGGATGACCTCCAACATGACCTCCAGCAGCTTCTCAGACACTTCTGCAACGAGGACTGGAAACAGGAGGCGAAGTGAGAAGCTGCCGCCCCTCAACACCACCATATAACCATCCATCCCGTACACAGCATCCATCCTCTCTAGGTACAGACATTATTACCTACATAATCACTGGAAGACACTGCCATTTCTACTTGTGCAGATGCAGTGAATTCATTTCTTCCCCCTCCCTGTATTTTATTTTGGGTTTTTGTTATTTTTTACCCTGTAAGCTAATTTGTGACCAAAGATAGCATCCTTCATTCAGGATGATTTATCCACCGAATCGTCGTCTTTGTGCCGTACTGGGAATTTGTCAGCATCGCCACTTCTTGCTGTTCCTTTGCTTCTGCACTAGCTTCAAGAAATTGCATTTGTCAAGCCAACTTCATCTACAGGCCTCTTCAAGTGACTATGTACATGCATCATAAAAAAGGGAGTTAACGTGTAAACTGTATATAGCAAGAGTATTTGGACTTACAAGACTGCAGAAAACACACTGCCTATGACTACAAATAGCATCGTGGATTACAAGGTCTGTTGACACTGCTGAACAGCGATTAATAAAATAACGTTAACACAATCGACTGCAAACACAGACTGACTGAGGAGGAAGCACTGCAGATCTACTGCATCTGTAAGACTTCCAGTTTAGGGATCTATTATAGTTAAAGGCTCTAAGAGTCAGGCTAAAAACCTGGAAATTCAGCTGTTCTCATGACGTAACAGCTGACTGTGGCCATTAATACTTCTAAGACCTTTGGACAGCCACTTAAAGATTTCCAGAAAAAGAAAAGAAAAAAAAGAAAAAAAAAAAAAGAATACCCAATTAGGTAACCAACTTGCTAGCAGCTATATCTATGGCACATTTGCATACGGTATTAAAATCTTTTAGATCTGGACATGTGGCAGGGTGTATTAAACAATTATAACTACAGTAGTTTCCTGTTTTCATCACTGCTTAGCAAACCCCACTGTCTTATTGGTGGTACTTCCTGCTGGCCACTGCACTGTAGATAACTATGGGAGACAGACTTACCTACTATACAAGGAGAATAATTAATTCACCGTGTTTTATCGAGATTGCCTCTTATCCGATACATGCATGTGGCATTTGAAGGTCAAAACCAAACCCTCCTATAATCATGTCAGCTTGTTAGCCCTCTTAGCACTGAGCGAGCAGTTTTTATCTTCCAATCAAGTGTTTTTTAAAGAGAAAGTGCTCACAATCCTTGAAAGCCAGTTTCTGTTCATATTTTGTTATCTATCTATATATATAATATATATATATTTCTAAACCAACCCTCTGAATACCACGATAGCATGTCTGCACTTTTATTTTCAAAAAAGGGAACATAGAGATCTGACATTTTGGGTGTTCTATACCTTAATATTTAATGGAGGGAGCTCTGTAGTGTTTTAGCATATATAATATACACACACTAACTAAATGTTTTTAAACAGCTATTTGATTTTTTAATAGTATACTCAAAACCAGAGTAAAACAAATCCTCTCCTCTAGGAGTAGTACTTTTTCCAAACTTATCTGGCCTTCTACAATTATAGGGTTGTTTGTTTTTTTTTTTAATGACTCACTCAGTGCTCAGAACAAGGGCACTTCCTCATTAAGGTAACCATGCCAAAAGCATGAAAACATCTTGGGAATTCTGGCTTCCTGCAGGCAAAACAACCCCAGGTGTCATGCTAACACTTTTTTTGGCAGGCAGGAAAAAGAAAGAAAGAGGAAAAAAAAAAAAAAAAAAAAAAAAAAAAGTGTTTTGGCAGCCAAACTGAATGAGACCCATGATGAAACATTTCACAACGCATCATGGCTTTCTTATTGTCAGAGACAGCACAGGATGATCTTCAAGGACGGGGCTCTAAAGAAATGCATTTCTGTTGTGTTATTTGCGGTGCAGATGATGTTCTGTGTAACAACATAATGGTTATTCACCTCTTATTTTGATTTTTTGCTGTGTTATCAAAGAACTTGAATACTGTGAGAAGAAGTGAATTTTAAGTTGACGAATCAGCATCTTGTTCCCATGGTGATAACACTAATTGAATATATCTATGAGGGCATGTATTAGTTAAAAATTAAAAAAAATACAACACTAACAATACATAGCTGCAATGTGTACAATGGCTGATTTAACTAAATAAAAATGTACAAGTGTTAAATGTAGAAATAACGGCTCACTCTCTTTTACTGTCAGTGCAGCATAAAAAGGAACAGCGCCCACATGGGTACGTACTTTAACTGAACTATCACATTATAATGCCTCTGTACCCAGATCGCTAAGATTTTTCTTTTTTTTTAATTCTGTTATTCAGCACTGATTGATTGGTAAGCATCAGTCTGTTACAACAGTCAGATACAAATTTTTTTAAACTCCTATTAATAGTTTTTCCAAGGGTATCTAGCCATGTTTTCTAGTTATTGTATTGGTACTGAAATTGTGGAATTTTCCTTCGAATATGGCCTAGACTGTTTGTTACAGTCAGTTACTTTTTCAGTGCCCACTACTGGCAGTTTCTCAACCAGAGGAAAGACAGGGAAGAAAAACGTAAGGTGAAATTCTGTCATGTCTTACATCCTTGTAATGCACAGAAAAACAGTGGGAAGAGTCTGCTTCGTTGCCAATTTAAATTTATTCGATATAAATCTGTACCAATTCTATTGCTGCAGCTGGATCTCTGGCTAATGTAACAGGTCATACTGCCGCAGCATCCCCACTCTTTGCCATTGCCTCGTGTGCTACCTTCACGGCCATCAGAGGAGTCCTCCTACCTACACCTCGCATAGCAGAGAAACCATCAATTTCAGCAGTTTCTCTATTTGCCAAAATTCAGAGTCATCCAACCTCCCAGATTAAGGGACAAAAAGGGCCCAAGCGAGGCACACCTGAACTCCCTGCCAAGACCAGAAGGATGCCCACAGGCCAGAGCAGAGCACAGCAGGTATGGGATCAAACCACAGGTCAGTCAGTTGTGACTGACAGAGCAAGTCCATGTCAAGGCTTACACATCTGAGGTGAGTCCTACAGCCGAAGGCTACCAAGTTTTTCCTCTCTTCCACTTTCTCTTCCCAATGAAAGACAATTGTATTAAAAAACCCCACTATCAATCAAATGAAACCCACTCAAACACCCAGACAACAATTAAACAGTTCTAGTGGTAAATATAGACCTCGCAGAGAAGCCAAATGGAAAAAAATTTGGTTAGGTGATGCTCAACTTCCATACAGCTGAAGGGTAAAGATCCAACAAGGACTCTCCCCTACGTCAAAATTAAATAAAAAAAAAAGCCAAAAAAGGATTTAAAAAGAGCAAAGAAACACACATAGAAATATCTCATTCCAATTCATTAACTTGGGTTTGTGCTTTGCTCTTCATGTTTCAGCAGGTGACTGACTGTGAGCATTATCTCCTCCTCTTTGTAATACTGCAGTTTCAGCTTCATGTTCTTATGTCAACAGGACTCCATGACAGCAGGAGCTGTCAGAATAATAGGATTAAATTGGAAAAAAAAAAAAAAAAAGCTGTAAAAGGCTCCAGCCATGCTGAAGATCAAGCATTCCTCCTAAGTAAGTGCCTTAGAGCTTCCCTTTGCATCTCTGAGAAATTAGATGTTGACTAGTTGGTTGAAAGGTAAGAGACAACATCCAGAAGTCACCCCAGAAGCCACTGTAGCATCCTGTTGTTTCTGAACCCCAAAACAGGCAACTGAGCAGCAGAAACAAATCCTTCCACTTAGCTTCATTACTGCAGGACGGACCATAATTTCACATACCGTACATGCAAGTAGGATATAAGGCGCTGAAGACCCCTTTCTAGCATCCTGCCTGTGCCGAGTGATAAAACACAACCCTTTCATGAGGGCAGAAACGAGCCCCCCAGCATCTGCCAACCAGCCCACTCCCACCTGCTCATGTCTGCAGCCATTTTATACAGGTGAACAGGAGGAAGGCAGATCTTACTGGCGAGCAGGGCTTGCCAAGCGCTGTCATAGCCATGTGTGAACATCGATACGGCTGGAACATAACAGCAAAACACTTGCTCACGTTCCAGGGTATGCTAAAACTATCATGGTCCCATGAGAGGACAATCTACTTTACTTGATAGAAAGCAGTTTAGAGCAACAGAGACACCTCAGAGCTGTATAGCATCCTGCCATCAGGTCAGAAATGATGCTTCACATCAGTGGGAAGTTATTTTTTCCCCCCTCTCAGTTTTTAGAAAGCCAAAAAGAAAATATCAGACTTAATTATATCACTGGCTTCAACAGTAGCAGAAGTTTTGGAGAGGACATAGGAAAATTGTTATCTGGGAGACAACCGAGCGACACAGGAAGGGAGGAGGAAACACAGAAGAGATAACCTGAGTAACGAAGAGAACAGGAGCCGGTGTTTAGGGGCGGAACATCTCACTGCAGTACTTGTGTTAGTGAGTCCTTTTCTCATGTGTTGTGTCCAAACAACATATTCCCCCAATAGTCAGATGAGAGACAGCCTATTTGTTTTCAAGGCATGTTTTAAAATGCTAGAGAAACAACAAATGCTGTAACTTGTAGAGCCCCTCTAGCTTTAGTCAACAGTTATTTGTTGACAAGGCAGTAAAATAATTTTGCTGTCATTCATACCAGGCATAATCAAGACACAGGCTGCACCCAGTCCTCCCTACTCTATTGGATGCTATTTTAACTCTCCAAGTTGGAGAGTATCAACGTGAAGGAAAAGAGATATAGAGTAATATATGAATTCAAAACACTTACTTACTTAAAGGACTGTTCCTTGAAATAATGCAAAGAAGGGGAGTCAGTCCCTGCCTTTTTCTTATTCACCAACAGTCTCTGTTTTGCAATAAAAATAAAAAACCTGCACTAATCAGCAGGTCTGAGCAATTAATAATGATAAACACAAAAAGCCCCGACCCCTCTGCGCCAGTCAAACCAAAGACACCGACAAGAACATCAGGAGCATCTGGAGGAACTTATCGTCTCCTTAACCCTGCCCCAAGAGCCCACAGTTGCTACAGGAGTGGGGTCTGCCCTTGGCCACAGCACAACAGGACTCTCCTCCAGTGATTTCAACGCAACAGAATTTCCAAAGCGGTAAGAGATACCAGCCTCACATCTGCAGGCTTCTTGACACACTTGCCTTTGTGTCTGTTTGTTATTACTAGCAGAGAAAGCTTTATATTACTACCTCCAGTGCTACATGCAAAAATGGGGGCAATTAAAATAAAATGTATAAAAGCTGGTTGAACCTTTCAGAGGCAAGATAGGTAGAATTAACCTCTGCCCAGCTTTCACTGAGCAGTGGCTGGTATTGCACAAGACTTCTATTAAATAGCCACTAGAGTGCAGCAAATCATCAGTGTTTAATACAAAAACCACAGCAAAAGTCCCACGAATTTTGGAAGTCAAATACTACAGCCTTGGCAAGAAACTCCCCACCCCTTATTGCAAATTTTAGGACTTAAAGGACATGTGTACACTATTTACATACGCACACAGAGTTCTCTCCTATGATAGCAATGGTAAAAGCCAGACGAGACAAGGTTTCAATAAGGGTATCAGAATACTTAGGGAATATTTAAATTTATTTGCTTAAACAGCATTTATGACTGTTCATTGTGGGGAGGGAGGGAGGAAGGAAGGAAGAAAGAAAGAAAGAAGGGGAGGGAGGGAGGAAGGAGGGAAGGAAGAAAGAAGGGGAGGGCCCCAGCCAGCAACTAAGCACCACTCAGCCACTCACCCCCCCACCGCCCCCCCAGTGGGATGGGGGAGAAACTCAGGAAAAGAAGTAACACTCATGGGTTGAGATAAGAATCGTTTAATACAACAGAAAAAAACCTAATAATGATAACACTAATAAAATGACAACAGCAATAATAAAAGGAGTGGAATGTACAAATGAGGCGCAGTGCAATTGCTCACCACCCGCCGACCGACACCCAGTTAGTCCCTGAGCAACGACCCACTGCCCCCAGTTTATACACTAGACTTGACTTCACACAGTATGGAATACCCCGTTGGCCAGTTTGGGTCAGGTGCCCTGGCTGTGTCCTGTGCCAACTTCTTCTGCCCCTCCAGCTTTCTTGCTGGCTGCGCTTGAGAAACTGAAAAATCCTGGACTTTAGACTAAACACTGCATAGCCACAACTGAAACCATCAGTGTTGTCAACATTCTTCTCATACTGAACTCAAAACACAGCACCGTACCAGCTGCTAGGAAGACAATAAGTCTATCCCAGCTGAAACCAGGATAGGAGGAAAACTGAGGAAAGCCTACTATTTGCACCTTAGATAATTAAGCACAGAGAAGGTTTTACAGGTAAGACACATGGCTGTACCCCACCTCGGGGCTTAGCCCAAGCCCAATGAATCTAACCCTACACTTCAGGAAGTTTTCTATCAGGCCAAATTTGCTGCATTTAGTGAAACCATGTTGGGAAACAGAACTTATACTCACTTTCTAACATCTCTGTATTCAAAACATTTCAGTGGTTCTAAAGGTGAAATATCTGACAATTTTATCAAAACTGATACCCAGATCCAGAATAATCCTGTGACCTTTTTTATCACTACATTTGACACATTTATTTCTCCCTCCGAGCGTGCAGATTTGCCTTCATCGAAGCCAATCTCCCTACCTCATCCCAAACGGTACACCAGCTCCTGCAAGCACCGGGGAAAATGGGCTACTGTTTGCCTTAGCCAGTCCTCTATCAGGGGGTCTGAGGGAAAGCAGTGCCTGCACTGCAAAGCACGCAGGCAACCAACAAGAAATGAGGGAATTGAGAACTCGTTTTCAGAGTCGTAATACACTGCTGTAGGCTTAAGAACATTATTCACATCAATGTCTAAAATAATGTATCTGCTATGCAAGTGCTCCAAAACGCTGCCTTCGCACACAGGTACCAGCTCTAAAAGCGTCTCTTCTCTGACCATTTTACCATGGTTCTTTACCCAGAGTGATTTTTGGTGACTGAGGATGGATTCTTTTCATTCCAGACCTGCTCTAAATTACATCAATATCATAGCAATGCAGGTGCTTATCCAGGGTTCTGGTTTAAAAATCTGATTGCTTCTATATTATACTACCCTCTTCTCCCTACACAGAAGTCTTTACAGATTAATAAAGTCGCTGAGCACCACTGATGCATTCAGGGTACAAGATGG